AAGTGGACAGGGAAAAGACCACAAGACCTCAGTCCTACACAAAGAAGTACAGAAACTAAGGAACACTGAGAGCCAGGGAAATAGTGTTCTTCAGGGAAGAGCATACCAATTGGTTATCCAGTACCAAATGGTCAGCTCTGAATACATACAGGTAACATTACACAGAATGGGCAGATTATATTTAGCAGTGTGTGTGTGTGTGTGTGTGTGTGTGTGTATACCTATACATTTACATATGTGCATTTAGCAGTAATTAATAAAAATGAGGTATGAATTTAAAATAAGGGGAGGCTTTGAATGGAGCAAAGGAAAGGAAGAAATTTTATAACTGTACTAAAATCTCAACAATAAAAGAAAAATTTTAAAGCTTGTCCAATATCACAATTCATCTTAAAAGAAAAGCACGAAATGTTTAAATATTACTGAGACCCTTACAAATATTTAAGGAAAAGGAATATTATATTTTGGAATAAAAGAACATTATACCAAAATCTACTTTTACAGTAATGAAAATGATCAAATATTTTGGTTTTATTACTTTTGTTTGGATTTTTGTTTGTTTTTATCTTGTGTTTGTTTATGTGTTTGTTTTGTTATGTTTGTTCTGAGACAGGATCTCTCCATGTAGCTCAGCATAGCCTTCAACTTACACTGTTCCTGCCTTCCCTTCCATGCCTGGCACAAACAAGATAAAGATTATAAACCTCATCAGTAAGAATAAGTGTATCATATTAACTAACACAGTTCTTCACAAGGAAGACATTAGCAGGCTCTTTCCCTCCCTGAAACTGAGCAGTCCTTATTCCAAATGCATGGTACTTAGTACAGTTTCCATCCCAGTAAAAGCAAAAGACTACCTCAAGCATGGAAATGTGCCGACATGCCTGGAAACTCAGAATAAAACACTGAAACAAGGACAAACTTTTTGCCCAATGAATCAGAAAGTCACCAACAAGGGTGAAACAGACCAACATTCCAACACTTCACTGTTTCACAAAGAAAACTTTATAGATCATGGTGCACACACATCAAATAACATGAATTTTAATACAGAGATAAACGTGAAGGCATCCACAAACAGAAATCTTAAAAACTAGAAGGCTACCACATCTTACAAATTCATTTTAAAAAAAATAAGCTTCCATCTCACATGATCTGCTATTTTACTTCTCATCCTTTAACGCCCAAGTGAGCCACCAGGACCTGCTGCTCACACCAACTCCATTCTTGTCCCAGAAACTAGGACTTCCTGTAATTCCTCTGACAGGATACTTGCTTCTTACCAGAAGCTTTATCAACATACCTAAATCAGAGTCACTTCCTCTGTGTTGAAGACCAGGCTAATCAGCGCAGAGGCCGCTTTCTGATTACAATTACAGTTTCTCACTGTAGCCCTGGGGAGACTGTCCATTCTGATCATAGCCAGCCTCTGCCTCTCTAAATAGCGACAAATGATACATGATTAGACGTTTTAAAGGACAAATCATCATTCTCTCAACAAGTTGCACACAACCTAAAATAGAGCTTTAAGAGGACATGTCATTTGGAGAAGCATCAATAAATTAATAAAAAGTGTGGAAACTAAGACTTTACAACCACTGCTAGCATTTGCCTGCCAAATATCCAACAGGAACACACAGTGAAAGCTGCAATTACTACAAGAGGGTCAAAAATAATAGGTGGCCAGATGAAACCTCTCTTCCAACATTTCTAAATGCCCCTTTCTGATTTCACCGTCATGGGGGAAGCTGGGTTCAGATCTTCTTTAGGAGCTTCTCTTTCAAGTGAGGATTCACATAGTTCAGGGAGGGTCAGACTGTAGTCAACAGAACACGGTCCAGTCTAAAAATAGACAGGCCCACATCTGATCCATTGTCTGTCCAGAAGCACAGAAGGCTCATAATTACAGGTGATGTAGAAACGTCAGACTAGTTCCCACGCTGTCCCCTCCCCATGGTCTCTCTCTACGCACTCACATGAAAAGCCACTCTTAATGCATCTGCTACCTCTTCCCTCGTTCTGGTTAAGTTATTCCCTAACTTCTGCTCCTGCTTACAGCCCTCCACCCGTCAACTTAAGCCTTTTTTTTTCTAAAAGAATTTGTCCATCAGAGCAAGACTCTTGGAAAAGAGTTTGGCAGAAACAGGACTCTGCATGATAGGCTAGCAACATGCATTCATTAAACAGCCTGGCCCATCACATCTGAAGATGCATGCTATATATGTGTAGATGAAGGAAAGGTACAGCTAGGATGCAGAAGAAAGCCTCTGATCAGAGTCAGAAAACCCAGGAACCTGGACAGAACTGTGTTCCTACACAATTAGGCTTCCGTTTAAGGATGGCTTTCAGAAAGCGAGGGCAGTAAGCCTGCTTTAGAAACTTGCTTCTGTCTGAACTGATAGAGTGTTAGCAGGGGCTGTCTATTTGTAACTCTACCATGAATCAAATGGGCCTTTGTGAAAATTCTTAAGTATCCTATATTTAACTTAGATCTTACCAAAACCAGTGTGCCCTGTTCTTTGGAAAATAAATATGCATTTTCACAAGCATTGCTCACGGAGCACAGCCGCTTTTTTTAACTGGGAACCCTCTGATATAGAGACCGTTGCAGCTGCAGAACAGGCAGGAAAGTATGCAACAAAGACCTGTGGCTATTAACGAATTAGAGCTTCCTTAACCTCTCTGGTTTCTGTTTGTGTCTAAAGTGGAATGGATTGAGCCACCTCGTCATCGTATAACTTAATAATCATCATGGGCCAGAGGGAGGTGGTTTATTTCTTTTTTGCCCCTATAGAAGCAATGTTTCTGGGAAAGGAATTATCTTGATCTGTGAGTTTTTCAATCTCGAGTTCATTAATACACCCAAAAGAGTCCCATAAATTCTCTAACGTTGGTCATCTATGTTTTCATGCACTTTTTAAGACAATGGTTTATATACCTCTTGGAATGTCGGGAAAAAAAAGTCAACCGTTTACTTCAATGATTAACCAGTTCCAAATAACTCCCATCAGCCTGTGGGCAGTCTTGCAAAGCATTATTTAGTAATTTCCTGTTGGCTTTATGTCATTTGGGTCCCACATCTATAAGTGTAGTAGAAGATGCATTTGAAACTTTCATTAATGGAGGTCCCCTATTACTGATGATGGTATAACTACATCTGCCCAGATCCCTGCTCTGTCAAATGCCTTGGATGGTACCTAGCCTTAAGAGTTCTGAAGAAATCAAGAAAGGGGAATTCCTTTCAGTTTATCTCTGGAGTAAAAAGGCAACAGATGATCTAGTTTCCACCACTTGCTGCAAATTTCATGATTTCCTTTTAATTGCTGAGTAGTATTCCGTTGTGTAAATGTACCACAATTTCTGTATCCATTTCTCAGTTGAGGGACATCTGGGTTGTTTCCAGATCATCCTGAGTGAGGAATCCCAGAAGCAGCAAGATACACATGGTATATACTCACTTATAAGTGGATAGTAGACATATAGTATAGGATAAACATACTAAAATCTGTATACCTAAAGAAGCTAAGTAAGAGGGAGGACCCTGAGTAATATGATCAATCCTCACTCAGAAAGGCAAACAGGATGGACATCGGAAGAGGGAGAAAAACAGGACAGGAGCCTACCACAGAGGGCCTTTGAAAGACTCTACTCAGCAAGGTATGAAAGCAGTTGCTGAGACTTATAGCCAAACTTTGGGCAGAACGAAGGGAATCTTACGAAAGAAGAGGGAGATGAAAGACCTGGAGGGAACAGGAGCTCCACAAGGAGAGCAACAGAGCCAAAATATCTGGGTATAGGAGTCTTTTCTGAGACTGATACTCCAACCAAAGACTATGCATGGAGATAACCTAGAACCCCAGCACAGATGTGGCCCATGACAGCTCAGTCTCCAAGTGGGTTCCCTAGTAATGGAAACAGGGACTGTCTCTGACTTGAACTCAGTGGCTGGCTCTTCGATCGCCTCCCCCTGAGGAGGGAACAGCCTTACCAGTCCCCAGAGGAAGACAATGCAGCCAGTCCTGATGAGACCTGATAGGTTAGGGTCAGAGGGAAGGGGAGGAGGACCTCCCTTATCAGTGGACTTGGAGAAGGACATAGAGGGGCATAGAAGGGAGGGTGGGATAGGGAGATGACGAGGGAGGGGGCTACAGCTGTGATACAAAGAGAATCAACTGTTATTTATAAAAAAAATAATTATTTTTTTTAAAAAAAGGCAGTGGAGACATGCTCTTCTCAACTGAGCTGAAAAGCTAAGACACAGCAACATAGCCAACAGCTCAAGTGAGATGAGTTGCTTCTCTGTAAGTCAAGTCTGGTAACTGCACTGAAGAGAAAAAGAAGGCCAAACTGAGAAAGTCCCTTACCCAAAGTGGCAAAGCCAAGACCAGCCTCCTCAGCTGAGATCTACAGCTCCTCCCCTCCCATGCCACCACACCTTCCAGCAAGCCTAATGATCTCATTCAAAAGAGTCTGACCCCAGTTACAGATTCTTTTATCCAAAACTCAACAGTTTAAAACCTCTCCTTTCATCAAAGTAGCCATACCAATGCATGAAATGAAAGTAGAACTGGAGTTGCCTCGGGGAACAAATGAGCTGGGAGGGAAAAGCAAGGAGGGACGAGGAGATGCACAATGTACTATATAGAAATGTATATGAAAATAATTTGTAAAACAACATAACTGAATATTTTAAAGGAAGGCATGCCGTAAATGACCTATGTGGTATACACAGTATAAGTTATGTTTGTTTTCTTTATCATTACCAGACTTATAAAAATAAATTCAGTACTGCCAAGTAGATTTTATGTTACAAATTTAATTTGTTTTTCAATCATGCTGACTTGATTGTGTTCTCTGACAAATCACAGAAGAGACCTCATTCATTAGTATCTTTTAAGATGATATAGAAAACTGAACACATGTGATTACATTCCTATACACTTCTGGTAATTGTCCTTTAAAGATCTAATGACATTTGTGTTTCCTTTATCTTTTTACAGGAGTATCATTTTAAACCCAGCCTATTTCCGAAACCATCTTCGTCAGGCAGCTGTGTTTAGATGTCTGGAGAGATACTCAGAAGCTGCCCGGTATGTTTGTTACAACTTTGTGAAGATTTATTTAAAGTTAAATTAATTTTACCCTCCGATTCTGGTAATAGCATAAGAGGACATTCCATTTCTCTCATGGAATATGATTTTACCCAAATTATTGTCTTATAAATGTCAAGCCAACAATTATTGAGTATCTTTTTCTTTAATTAAAGCTATTCCATGTTCATAGCTCTTAGCAAAATTCAAACTTTCCAGCCATGAGGTCATTAATGATGATGGGAAACTTCCACAGATATTAGAAAATAACTGACCTCTTAAGTCTCCAGGATGTTTCAATTGTAACTACACAGTTCTGTGACTCGAGCTTGGAGGTGAAGTAAAATCATGATGAAAGGACCCCAGCAAGCCAGAAGTCCATGTCTAAAGAGATAGCATTTGTTGGTTATCCCAGGGTTGTGGTGATAGTTATCTGTTGGACCTCACTATTTAAAAGAAAACTGAGTGAAGCAGTGGCTAATGTTATCATCCCCAGAACCTAAATTTTTTGGAAAAAAAAAATTGTAAAAGTCATGCAGCAACCTAAATACCCACTCTAACGTCACTGTCACTTGTCTTATGCAAGGATAAAATTCACCATGCTGATTTATTCTCTTTGGCCCTTTTAATCAAGGAATTTCCCCTTTCTCCTAAAGTGCAAAAAAGTATTTATTGTTTTATATGGCTGTTTCTAGGAATTCAGTGAGGGGAAAATAAGAGCAGTTTCTAGAATTTGTCGAAGCACAACTTAGAAGGTCAAATCTATATTAATAAGGATGAGGTGTATAGTCTTTGGGCAACTCTTGTCTCTAGAATGTATATAAATCTTCGTATACAAATATTTCTTTGAGTGGTAAATAAAGTGGTTCTATGACATTGGTGCTGTGATATGGACGTCCAGTGTAACATGGGTCCATACATTGCCAGAAGCTCAATCAAGTGAATGCTATGAATAGTACAGTAAGCCCCAACTACTTGCACTTTGCAATCATACAGCACATCTTTTTACTTGTGGTTTATGATGCACTTTGAAATATGAAAACAGGTTCTTGTCACTCCATTCACACTCCATTTTCCATATACAGTTTTTTTTAATTCAACACACACATGTGCATGCGCGCGCGCGCACACACACACACACACACACAGAGTTTGTTAAACTTTGCTAGCTCACTACAAAAAGAGCTAATATCAAGTTCGGGGGTTATGGCTTACTAATGTGTTGTGAATCCAATCTAAAGATCCATAGAAACCTACTTCTGACCTGAAGCCAAGACTGCAAAAGGTACAAATGCTGCCGTGAGTGTTTTTGTGCTGACTTGAAACATACATAGTTAAACAAGAATTTAGCGAGAGTCGGTTGTTAAACAACTGGACAAATTAGAAGCTTGGTGAGAATTTATAAGTTAGAAATCAAGAGGTCCACAAAGCCAACTCTGTTTATTTTGTTGATTGATTGGTTGGTTGGTTGGTTGATTGGTTGGTTGATTGCTTGGTTAGTTAATTGGGTGGGTTTTTGTCTGTAGAAGATGGGTGCCAGCAAACCACTGGTTATATCTTAATATTATCAAACCTAACTGAGCCAAAGCAGTGACCAGAGTCATTATGGGTCTCAAAGCAAGCAATGGACATAGAATGTGTCACTGTTTGCCATGTAACACGGGCACTGCCAACTCCATTGTTCTTGCCATGTCCCCTGCAGTGAAATAGATGCATCTGTTTAATATCATTGGATGATGACTTGACAAGTTCCTGATAATCATTAGTTATGCTGGTGTGCACTTTTCCCAAAGGAGAAGTAAACAGTTGCTATCACATCCAGCCACTAATCATAGGCAGAAAATGTCTTGGTTTTCTTGGCAATTAGAGCTGTCAGTACCATGCTCTCCAGTACAACCAAAAGTAAACATGGACATCTTAGCATCTGCTTAGACATTGGCTTTCCAATGTAAACCAGCACATACAGTGCCCATTTTTATCAGCAAGTCTTCTGTGGGTAGTTTGTTCCGGGCACTATAAAAATACAGTGTCAAACTAATCTGTAAAGCCAACACAGCAAGTTTCCTGCAAAATGTCAAGTACCCATGTTTCTGGGCAGGATAGCCACCAACCAAATAAAAATGAATGTTTATTGTGCGAAGTAGTCAAAATAAAACCCCAATTCTTAATAATTGTATTGCTCAGCCAATTTTTTGTCAAAATGTAGCATTTACAGGAAGCCCTCAGAAGCTGAATAACTGAGGTGGACTGAATAAGAGGTTCCAAGGAAACATGTCAGAAAGATTCCCAGGACAGCATCATGAAGGTACAGGCTCTCACCTACACAGAAGAGAATGCTGCTGGAATTGGATGGAAAGCTCGGTCAGGTTTACAATAGGCAGATCATTTTATTATGTGTGCTCATGGCCTTTCAGAAACATCCCACTGGACAAAAGAGCAAGAATATGGCCATGGTCAAATAGAATAAAATGAAGCCTATTTATTTTATCATGGCATAACTCTATGAGGATTCTGGTCACTTCAGACGAAACAATTGGAATTAGTTAAATGGGTAAAATCACATTTTCTGCAACAAAACTAAATTAACATTTCTGTAACCACCAACATACCATACTACCCCATGAGAAGCAGTCACTCTGGAAAGTTTTATCTGAAGTAATGACTACAACAGTTTCATAATGTCTCTCTGTGCCTCTACATATAAAAATGTCTATGGTGACAAAACGGTGTTCAAATCTGGCTTTTCTTCCCTAACACAAATAGGTATACTCATGTGCACAAATACTAAAGATCATACGATATCTACTTCTACCTACAATGAGGATGTATAATAAAAATATAAGCAAGTTATTATACTGTGCATAAAGAGGCAAGTGCAGGTAACTCTAAAGATAAATGAGCAACAAAGCCTCTTTATTATTAGTTAATCATTAGCTATGTTTCTAAATATCTGAACCAGAGCATGGTACCACACTAAGTGGCGTGCAAAGCCAGGCAGATAGAGTGTACAGGTATATCAGAATTCCAATTGTAAGATATAAGAGTCAGTTACAAGACACAAGGGTGGCTAGGGGTGGTGGCAAATGCTCAGTATCTCAACAATTGGAAGAAAGAGGGGGAAAGGTCATCAAGTCAAGGCCAGCCTAGGCTACATGAGAAATTTTACATCAAGCTTGGCTACATAAGAACATATCCCAAGACAAAAAAAAAATGGAGATAGATAGATAGATAGATAGATAGATAGATAGATAGATAGAGCGAGCTACTATTTTATTTATAAGACACCATGATCAAGATTACTTATAGAAGGAGTTTACATTGCTTACATTTTCAGACAATTAGTTAAAGTCTCTGGTCATTATGGTAGGGGAAGATGAAAACAGGCAGGCAGGCATGATACTAGAGCAGTAATTGAGGGCTCATACGCACAAGGCCATATCTCTTAATCCTTCCCAAACAGTTCCCAAACAGCTGAGTACAAAGTACTCAACTATATGAGCTTTTAAGAGACATTTACACTTGAACCACCACAGTCTACATATTGTATTAATAAACTGTAGCCATCATATAAATTTACCTGGACACTGTGATAATTAAGGTAGATCCTTTTAAGAATCACATCAAAAAAGCATGCAGGACAAACAATTTATACAAAGCATGTGGCTACCCTCCCACAGGCCCTTCCAAAGATAACACCCATTGCTTAAATCCAGATCAAGAAGCTGAACAGGGCTGGAGGCTCAGTTTTTAAGATCTCTTGAGTCCATGAAACACAGCTTCCCAAGAAAGTTGTTGATGTATAGATGTGGGGACTTATTGGAGCTCTTTCTAGTACAGTCTCATTTTAAAAAAGCTGAAGTGAGGCTGGTGAGATTGCTCACTGGTTAGGAACATGCTCTGCACTTCTAAAGGACCCAAGTTTGATTCCCAGCACCCACATCGGACTGCTCACAGACACTTGGAACTCCAGCTCCAAGGCGATCCAGCAACTCTGGCCTCTGTGTTCACTTGCGTATACCTGCACACATGTACAGAATTAAAATTAACAAAAATAAAATTTAAAAAATAAGTAAATACATAAGCAACTATCCAAAATAAGACACACACACACACACACACACACACACACACACACACACACACACGTTGGCTCACAACCACATCTAACCACCTCCAAAAGATCTGATGCTCTCTTCTGGCCTTCTCAGCTTGTACACATGAGGTGTACATACAGACAGGAGAAATTTTCACACATGTGTACACACACACAATAATAAAAATTTTAAAGTTGAATTATTTACATGAAAGCATCCATTGAAGCATTCTCTAAGTTCCACTATGGGGCTGCTTCATTTCCTGGGACCAGAAACCACTGGGGAACAGCAGCTCACCCCAAACACCATCTTCTGTGCCTGCTACATTTCCCACGAATGGCAAATATCCTGGAACAGCAGCTCCTAGCTCCACTAGAGTGCAGCTGCAGAGACCTGCAGGCACTGTCTGCCTAGGACCATCTGTACCCAACCTCCCTCAGCATTTTCCAAGTTCCACCTATGGGGCTGCTCCATTTCCTGGGACCAGAAACCACTGGGGAACAGCAACATGATCTAAGCACCATCCGCTAGGCCCACTACATTTCACTGTATATCAACTGGTGGGGAACAAGAGGTAAGACCCTTTCCCCAGCTCCCGGCCTGCCTGTCAGAGACCAGCTGCAGAGGCCTGCAGGTAAGGTCTGCCTTGGCCCTACTCCCACCAGCATGCCACCTACAGGACTTACCCCGTTTCCCTGGACCAATAACCATCAGAGAAGAGCAGCAGCATGCTCCACAGACCATCTTCTGGACATGGGCCACATCTCCACCGCATGCTCAAAGACCAGAAATCATCTGGAAAGAGCATCCTCGGGGAGCAGTAACAACCATGAAGGAACAGCAGAGACCAACACCCATCAGACACCAGCCAGCCTGCCCCATTTTCTGGTCCCCATCCCCAGAGAC